CAGTCCAGATCAGGTCCGTAAGTCCGATATTAGCCCATATGTCTGATATCAATCCATAAAGACCTCTTCAGACTCACAAAACACATGCAATGACGCCGAATGGAGAACAATCACAGGCCAGTGGGTAGAAAGTCTTTGGGTCCAGTGGTGTTGTAAGCATCTCAGTGCTGGCAGGGGTCCCTCTGGCTTCTCCAGCTTCCGAGGTCTGGTTGCATCCACGTGGCTTGTCTTCTGCAATGTCTCCCAGGGAATAGCAGAGAGAAAGAGGTGTCTTCCGCCTCCAAGGAGGAAGTCCCAGATTTCCCAGAATTCTCAGGAGAAGGCCATGCCCACACAGAAGTCTCATTGGCTATCTCCAGATGGACAGCCTAGACTCCACCCCTACACTCTGAATCCTTAAATTGACACCAGATTAGGTGACTACCACAAGAGGAGAGGCAGAATTTTGGAAATGTCGGGGAGAAATGGGGCACGAGCAAGGGGGGGGAGTTGGAGATGCCGTGGAAACTGAAGGGCAACGGATTTCAACACAGCCCCCAGGGCCTGGGCTCTCTCCTCCCCAGCCTCCAGCCTGTCCCCTCTTGGGCGTCTAGCCCTCTCTCGCCAGAAGGAGCAGCTCTGTCAGTTGCCCTCCGCTCTGCCTCTCCCCTTCATCCTTGGCCTCTCCCAGGCTGGCAGAAGCAAGGTGGTGACACAGGCAGCCTGGCCAGGTGTCAGGGAGGTGGCTCTGAACGAGGGGAAACGCAGGCCCCTGGCATCCTCCACAAAAGGCTTGGGACCTGCTGCCCCCTGAGCCACAGTCCTGTGTCCCTGCACTGCACATTTGCTGAGTTCTGCACCAGATGAATGGGCAGGGTAGGGGTGCCAGAGGGGGTGACTTCTCCCCTCACCAGCCCTGGCCACGCTGCTTCTGCCAAAGACTAGTGGAAAGGCTGTCTCTTACCTTCCTTTCCCTTTCCCTCCGATACATGATGCTCAAGAGGCCCTGATTCCATCCCAGCTGTGCCCAAGCCACTCCACACACCCCCTCCCTTTGGCTCCAGTTTCCTCTGTTCTAGGATGGGTTGGGCCAGCCTCCCCCTTGACGACCCCTTCCACATCTTCCCCAAGAGAGGCTGTACCACGAGATGCCTGGTGGATCCGGACAGGTGCGGGGCTGCCCGCCTGAGCCAGGAGCTTGGAAGCCAGGTTGTCTTGTCCCCAATCTACTTTCTCCTGTGAGTTTGGCTCCTCGGGTTTGTCTGGGTTGCCCTTAAGAAATGAGGATTCTTAGATCAGTGTCTGTGCTGAACTGCCCTGTCTTTTCTCGAAGTTTCTTCACGTCCAGCTGCAAGCCCTCCGCAGCTCTAGCAGAGGAGGGGGAGTGGGTGGTAGGGACCT